AAAAAAAAAAAAACATAAATACTGCAAAGAAACTCGAATTATAATGTACGTCATCGAATGGATTTGAATTTCTAATTGATTGGGCTTCTACGATATTTTAATACTACATTTATTACATTGTTAAACAATAAAAAATATGATTTCCAACAAGACACTGATGATGTTGAATAACAAATTCGTGATTTGAGAAAAACACGCGATAGTCTTAACTGCGCTACACCAATTTTTAAATAAAAACATGCCCCTATTGGTCCATCTCGCTTCCGTGTATCTTAAAAGCAAACACTTAAGTTTGAAGAGCTCAGTAAAATCCAAAAGACACTATATCCTGACGATAATACTGTCTATATTTAATACTCTATACTCATCTAATGTCAACGATGATTTGAAAAGTAAAGAAAAGTTATTGATGAATGTTTTTTTTCAATTCGACAGGTTTACCTCGCCAAAGACATTCACACAGGTCGTGAATACGCAATAAAAGTATGCGACAAGCGTTACATTATTAAAGAGAAGAAGACGGAGTATGTTAAACGAGAGAAAGAGGTGTTAAACATGTTGGCAGGTGCAAAACACTCGTTTGTACGTTTATTCTGCACATTTCAAGACGTAGACCGCCTCTACTTTGCTCTCTCCTACGCCAAGAATGGCGAACTACTGCCTTACATCAACAAAGTCGGTTCATTCGACATCGAGTGTACAAAATTCTACTCAGCCGAGATTCTCCATGGTTTGGAGTATCTCCACGGTCTTGGTATAATTCATCGTGACCTGAAGCCTGAGAATATTCTTCTTGACGAGAAGATGCACGTTCTCATCACTGACTTTGGCAGTGCTAAAATACTCAAGGAAGATCCAGAGTTGGAGAGACCAAGTGACAACTATGAGAATCGGAATCAATCAGCTAGACGTGAAAGGCGCAATTCTTTCGTTGGTACAGCACAGTACGTATCACCAGAGTTACTGACTGATAAAACAGCATCGAGAGCTTCGGATCTCTGGGCCCTCGGTTGTATAATATACCAAATGGTTGCTGGCTTACCTCCATTCAGATCTAGGAGTGAATATCTCATTTTCCAAAAGATTCTCAAGCTTGAGTATGAGATTCCTGATGGATTTTGTGATCTTGCTAAGTCACTTGTCAGACAGTTGTTGGTTGTTGATGCATCTGAGAGACTCGGTGCAACGGATGAGCATGGAAATGGTTATCCCAGCATCAGAGCCCATGAATTCTTCGAGGGAGTTGATTTTGAGACTCTCCATGAACAAACACCACCTCCAATCTATCCTTATCTACCTGGCACTTCTGAACACGAGGAGTTGAGATCGCATTATCGAGTTCCAGATCATCTAGAGCCTGGCCTAGATGATAAACAACTAACGAGGCTACTTGGATTAGGAATTGGAGAGGATACCACTGATAAACCAATACCTGCTGTTGAAAAACCAAGAAGAAAGAGTGGCTGCATATCTCATCTTTCACCTGAAGAGATCAAAGAACAACTGGAGAAACAGAAGACCTCCAGTCCCTGGCACTCCTTCGTCGATGATCATCTCATTCTCAAACAGGGATTTGTGAATAAACGCAAGGGATTATTCGCCAGGAGACGAATGCTACTGCTCACCACTGGACCTCATCTTTATTATGTTGATCCTGTTAATATGGTACTCAAGGGGGAAATTCCATGGAGTCCAGAGTTGAGGGTTGAGCCGAAAAATTTTAAAATCTTTTTCGTTCACACTCCAAATCGAACTTATTATCTGGAAGAACCTGAGGGATTTGCACTCGAGTGGTGCAGCGCCATTGAAGACATGAGGATTCACTGTTATGGACTATAGGAATGATAATTATAGCAAAGTTCGGTATCACTATGAGGGATTAAGGAAATTTTAAAGGCGTAGGATCTCCTATACTCTTTCTTCCTTTTTAAAATTAACCTATTGAGGATAATTACTATTCATCATACTTAGCAAATATGAAACTTAATCAGAGAAATTAGAAAATTGATCAGGTATATTTGTTCTGATACCGTGCAGATTATTCATTTGATATTCCGTCATTGCTATTGGCTTTTCTCTCTCAACGTCTTCATGTTCATTTTGTCCTCTTTTTGTTCGTTTCGTTTGCAATTTCCGTGTATCGATTTACGGTTATCGGTGTCTGAGAGATTCGGTATTTGTTAAGTCACTGCGCTTTATTTCATTAGAATATAGCCGATGATTAATGAAATTTAGAAGAATTGTAGGTAGGAAAAAAAACCAGCGTAGTGTGAACATTGAGCTGAATCGGATGAACTAATTATTTATAACTAGCTAAATTCGTAAATGCTAAACTTACTTAAATAGTTTGCAGATTTTCTCGTCATTTACTGAATTGAATAGTCAATTAATCAAATAAGTTATTTGATTAAGAGGAAAAATAGAAAAATTTGTTTTTTCTTTTTTGTTTAGTGTCTGTTCTGTTCTGTTAAGTAAAGTTATCGGAAGAAACAAATGTTTCATTCCATTCTATTTATCATCTTCGTGAGTAGAATTTGATTAATTCATTTATCAATGCAAGTAGTATTATTTTACTATTTAAGAATTAAATTAAATGAGAATAAGGAGAAACTAGTGGTCTGGTTAGAATGCAAAAAAGAGATTCAATATTTGACGAAGGCTAATTTATAATGTGTTTTGTAAATAAAATGCGTTCAAGCATTCACAAACGCCCAATCCGCGATAATCATCGGGTCAATTTGTTCAAATGTGTGGGGTAATCTAATTTTATACTTAGAATTATAAATATACATATTAGATCATTTTCAAATTTTAATATGTATATTTATACGGATCCACATGTATTTATTGCTGTGAATTGTTCAAGTGCGCTTGTGTGTCTGTCTGTGTGTGTGTAGATGTATTCGAACGTTTGAGCGAATAGACTAAATGAAGTAATAACAATTACCACTTAAATATCTCATCTCAACGATGTGAAAGACTTGGACAGGGTATATGTAGGGTATACGAAGTGAAAAGATAGCTTGTAGAGTGAATGAGATAATTATTATCGTTTTTCATCGACAAAAAATTGACCACTTTTTTAATGCTCGAAATAATTGTGAGACTCTTTCAAGTCGAATAATTGTTCTCATGGCCTAGTAGTTCATACAAAATGACCGCTTTTGGTGGATTGCGCAAGGTCGGGGCGGGCTAGTCGTCAAATAATCGTCTCGAACACTCTACAAGTATTTTTTTTTTGTTTTAATTTAATTTATTTATTTACACTTACATATTTATGAAACTATTTATTTGTCATTATTTTTAAGGAAAATTTTAGATGAGATGAGATGTTTATGATTGAGTGATTATCGTGGATTTAACGTAGAAATTGTGTCTCGTCGATGTCGTGGTATTTTTCTATATTTTATTATGAAAATTTTGCACGATTTTCAAGATGTGAAACACAATTTTTAACGTGATGACAAATTATTTGAGTTTATAGCCAATTCGAACGAATTTAGATATTGTAACATTGGCCAAAATGAAGATATAATTGTGAGATGATTAATTCAAGTATGTGTATGTGTGGGGATAATTTAATGTAGTTGATTGATTAAGTTGTGCAGTGGAAGAGGTTTTTCGTCGATATGTGAGCATGCTTTGGCAACTGTAATTGCAGTATTATTATACATACGTAAGGTGCGCCTTTTATACATTAATTAATAGGGGTTATAAGAGGGTTTTTTTCGACCATTTTTCGTTGTATATATAACATTTGAAGCATCACAAAAAAGAATGAATGAGGAACAATCCCGGAATTGCACACAGGCATGAATTTGATGATTATACATAATTGTACAAAGAGATTCTGTAAATAGTATGTTAAAACCCTATTCATGTTGAAGAAAACAAATTTATTTATAGTAAATTTTCTGGAATACCATAATCCAACGTTTTTTTATTTATATACCTGTCCTCAATAATCATTCAATTTATTTTTAACTTTAGAAATGAAAACAGTTGTCGATGCCGGCTGAGCTGAGATATATTTATATTTTTATTAGTGGAACATTTGTGTGTTACGTCTGTCTTATGACGTGAATTTGAAATATGAAAATTAGTTAAAAGATGTTTATTTCTCTTTAACAATTCAAATGGTTCAAGTAGTTATTTTTTACAGAATCAATAATAGGAAAACAATTATGAAGCAATTGTATTAGCAATTGATTCGTCAGGTTGATTTTAATGCAGCTCCTCTTGAAGACCATCTCCATCGATGATTCATTCTGCAATTTTCTTAATTAATTTCATACCATTCCTGAAAATAATAGATTGTGATTTTTTTGAAGCCAGAAGAAAGAGACATTCGATAGCATTTCATGTTTATATTGATTTATTTGATCAATTGGAAGGCAATCGATAAATTTGCAACAAATAAAAATAAATAACACACTCTTTCTCTCTCTTTTATCCTAATTATTGAAAATCCATAACGTAAATTAAATTAATGAAATAAAATAAATTCATTGATACGTTTAATAAATTCGCCTGACTCTGACGCACAGACACTCAACATATGTCCAAATTCACTCTGCTTTATCCATAAATTAAAAAAAAACACTTTGTTGTATACTTGCGTTTAGTATACATTCGTATATTTTTCAATCTTTTTAGTGCTTTCTTCCACTTAAATTGAGGAATAAATTTTAAGCAATTGCGTTGCAAAACGTCGCAGCATTTTGTGATGTACAGACACTTGATTATTACTCACTCACAGATTATCAGATTCGCACAGCCCAAGTGAAACAAACAAGCATAATAAATTTTTAAATGATGATTGATGGTTTTGTCCTATAGAAAGTTGTATGCAATCTTTCTCTTCTCAATGGTGACTCGAATTATTCTACGAGCACCTTGGAAATTACGAGGATAAAAGGGAATAATGGAGAGGCCGTTTTTAAACTTTTGAGAGTTACAATAAAGATTTGTGTATAAAATTCGCTAAAACTCTAGCATCAGGCAATAATTGCAGAGTGACATTCATAATTGTTCTGATTTTAATCCACCGTCTCTGTAAAATAGATTTAATTCTTCCAAAATTATGCCAATAATATAACAAATTGGTTTGAGACATTGAGTTGATGATAACTGATGGCAAATAATGAATCTGTTAATCATTGACGGAAAAAATGGCTCGGTCAACCAATTTTCTCCAATGAATTCCAACAATCACGCTAGAATCTTAACCATGTGTACCTGGGTGTCTAAATGAATAATTATATTTTACAATATATTACAAAACAATGAAGACGTGTATTGTCATGGCAACAGGATGCTAATAAGGAAGCGATATGTGATGGTAAAATTGGGAAGATTATTATTCTGTCATTCGAGGTTTCGTAATTTTGGCACATATTGGTTATTCTATAAAATAATATGTGACTTTTCGTTTACTGATTCAGATCGATTATTTGAAAAAATCACATTTGATAAATCTGAACTCATTGATGACTAGAAAAATAAATGGAATAAAATTCTCAAGTATTTAATTTCCTCGAAAATTGATCCCAATTGATTGAATGACACTTTAATAATTTAATTTTTTAAATGCACAAAAAAATTTGCGATTGAACCTAAACACTTTAAATTATTATTTGATTCAATTATTCGAATGAAGCACAACGTTGAATGATATTAAATGCATTACTCTTGAGAATTATAATTGATGGATTTTGTTGGACTTTATGGTAGAGAATGGAAATAAGAAACAGCCGCATCTGGAATGTTGCAACTTTATCTGTTCCTTGGATAAATTAGAATAACGATAATGGGACATATTTGGGAATTTATTCCAAATGAATTCCTCATCAATGTGTCAGCTTTGCCCGATTTTTCCATATTTTCAGTAATGTTTTTCCTATAAAAATCGAAATTGTAATGAAAATATTTTCACAATGTTTACAAAACCCTAGTACCGTCAGGCCTATTAGTAAATCACCTCCAAATACTCTGCATTTCAAGCATAATATTTCCCAATATTTCTTTTGGCTGACTGCACAGACACGATAAATTTAACGAACAATAGTGTGCCAAATTATTGAAATTTTCAACTGTTTACATTAGACGACAGACTATTAAGAACTCGCAGGTTTGGAACACATGGAATGTCACAAAAACAACAATAAGCACCGCGGAATAGGGCAACTGATGGGAGAAAAGACCAAATAGTAGACGTACTTCAATTACACTCGATAATAAATAAATTAAACGTGCAATTTTCGTGTCCGTGCGTCATTCAACTTCTTCTAAATTATCTTAATTCGCTCCCTTGTCATTTTATGGTAGATTTTCACCAGCATATTATAATGATATAATAATATTATCTAAAATCACATACTCTGGATTAAAAATATCCCAAATTGCACCCAAAAATTTTTCAAAAATTGAACCAAATCCATTTAAATTGCTCAATTTTTCCTAGAAATGGTATTTCAGGTGCAATTATTATGTCTTAATGTTAATTCATGAATTATTTATGAATAATTATTCTGTATATTATATTAATTTTTTTTGTATAATATTATGCAATTATTTTATAGTAATAGTATAAGGAGGTTTTGGGCATTTATGTTTCTCAAATAATGGAGAACAATCGGTACATTTTCCACGTGCTTTCTCTAGTTTATTATATGCTATTAACGCAATTTATTAAACTCAAGCAACACACGTAGACCTTAGGCGGGGCATTGTGGCACTAAACAATCCCTTCGTGGTTAATTCTTTGGAGAATTTTGAAGTGATTGCCATTGAAGAACTCGCTTCATTTATTATAATTTTCATGATTACCGCATTCACTCAGTCATTGATGAAAGATGAAAGCACTGAATTATTATTATTATTTTCTCATCGATTCTTCTAGGATTGACACATCCTTCAGTAAAATGATAAAAAGATATCACCGTTTCATTAGTATCTTGGAAACAAAGACCTTTTACAACATTATTTGGCTTACAAAAAAGGTCTGCTGACATTTTTTTTTCTAATGCTAATAGTTTCGAAGATCTCAACGAGTGGTATGAAATTATTTTTATATCATTTCATTACTTAATCTCATGTCATATCCATTCTGCACATTTTGAAGAATCGATTCCTCTAGTCAAGACTACTTGAGCGTCATAAAGAGGAAATCGCGGTGAAATTTTTAAGTTCTCGTTAGAGTTTGGAATTTTCATTACAATCGGTTTTACCCATTTTCACCTAAAAAATTATCCAAATGTCTCAATATAACTTACTTAACATTTATATTTTTTCAATATATTTATTAGACGAGAACAGACGAAAAATTATTTTTTTGAATGAAAATTTAATGAGTCAATGTAAAAGGAATAGGATAAAAAAACATTTCAGTTGTTCTATAATTTATCCGATGGTTCATGAAAAGTGGATAATTGTTCTCCGCAGTCTAATGAATATTTGGAAAAGAGAAAAGTGTTGAGCGAATTAAGATTGAGGCACGTGGAGGATTTTAAAAGTAAAAACACAAAGCATCGCTTTATAATTGGATAAAATGGATTCGATTAATGATTTTGTGATTTTTAAGGTGTCTGATTCTGGATGATAAACTCTCGTTAAAAACTTAAAGTTCAACCCAAGGGTCCCCCAAAAAAGCAAAATCCCCCCCAACACTCAGAAACACTCTTGGTCCAATATACATTGTTTCATCTGTATAGCTCATTATTCAACCTCGTCTCTCCATACTATATATTAAAACCTTAACATAATTAGGTCCTGCTTGAAGATTTAATAAACCATCAAGTAAGCTCTTCATTAAGTACACTGATGTCCCCCGTAATTGGTGAACCATTACTTTATTATCGGACACTGTTCGACAAGTAGCGAGTTTTTTAGTTATACTCATCTTAAAATTAAAAACAGACGAGTCACTTCACTCCACTAAGTACAAAGATAAGGCCACATTTCACTAAAGTCCTCAGGCTAAGTAGCATAATCTCCTTTGTCCCAAATGAGTGTTAGATCCGATGACATCTTGAAATCCGAGTCCTCCATATTCAAGAAATCGAAGGGATCGTGACTATTAGCAAGAAGTGGATCGTAAATATCATTGCTGATATGTTGGGTAGAGGAGGGTGGAGAAGGATGATGATGCATTGTACTTGTCAAAGTCGGTGAGGACTGATGCATCAACGAGTCCAACCAATCAGAATCATCCATGTCCATAGACATGTCACCAATGTCCATCAACTCCTGAGGTACACTCTCCATCTTTACGACAAGATCACCATCTAGCTGTCCAAAGTCCATGGTATCCAAGGTCTCCAGATCTAGTCCTAGCTCTTTAAGATCCAAATTGCTATTAGAACTTGTGACTTCTTGAGGAGGTTGAGGATCCGGTGAGCCTTGCTGAACACTCTGGGGACTCAATAGCATTGCTGCATCGAGTTCGGCATCAGAACTCAGTAGATCAGCAGTGAAAGAGGGGATATCATTTTCCTGATGTTGAGTCTGTCTCTCCTGTTGTAATGCACTTGGTAATTGCACTGAGAATGAAGCCAGAGGCAGAGGTGGCGGAGGTGGTGGTGGAGGTACTGGAGAATTGGGACAGCCACTCTGACTAACATCCATGGCCATCGGGCTAATCGGACTGCCAGCAAATACAAGTCCTGGGCTATCAGCAGGAGCTGTGAATACCAGATTCTGTTGTAGCTGACGATTTGGTGTTGTTGGAGTTGCTGGATCTTGTGCAGCACTCGGTGGCAGTTCACCATTCTTTATCAATATCTCTAGAACATCATCAACCACTTGACTCTTAATGTGGCTCTTTTGTACTGGTTCAATCTTCACTTTCAGCAGCTTAGCAGCTTCATCGTACTCTGGAGGAGGTTTCTCCTCAGATTTTGGTGCTGTTGTTGTTGTCGTCGTCGTCGTAGTACTTCCAATTGTTGTAGTTGGGATTTGCTGCTGTACCTGTTGATGCGCTTGAGCGGCAACCAATGCACCCAGGAGAGAGCCATTTATCTTGGTGGGTTTAGCAAGATTGAGGACAATAGCAGCTGGAAGTTGCACTGTGGTATTATTCTTTACATTATTCTTCTTGTTATTTATGGCTGTGAGAGTTGCAGAATCGAGTATCGCAGTATTGTTAGGCTGTGATTGTAGGAATGCAGCGAGAGAAGCCTTTGCATTCAACTGTTGGAAAGCAGCATGCTGGCTCTGTTGGGTTTGTTGCTGCTGTTGGTTCTGCTGCTGCTGTTGCAGCTGTTGCTGTTGAAGATGCTGCAGCTGCTGCATTTGAATGGCCAGTTGTTGTTGCTGCATCTTATGATGAATGTGATGTTGCAAGTAGAGTTTATCTGCTCTTGCTGGCTGAGTTTGACGCATCTGGGGATTCTGACGCAATTGTTGCCTGAATCTGTAGACCTCTCTCTGGAGCTCTTCGATTTTCTTCTGCTGCTCTTTAATTATATCGTCACCTGCTGGACTCGATGGATCATCGTGCTCACTGTTGTGGGGAGAATCTGTTCTGGGACTGTTGGGCTCGTCCTTTATGGAAGAACTTGGACTTTTGGCATGCAAACTGGAGTCATCCGATGCCATTGGACCTGGGGTATCCATCAGGATGTGACCCATGTGTGTTACGTGGGGACCACTTGAGTTGGAGTTGGCTGTGGAGATCTCGGTGAAGGGCTTCAATCGTTCAATCAGTTGAGGTTTTGACCCTGAAACTGGTAGATTTCGCCTCTTCAGTTCCACTTTGAGGTCACTCACCTTCATATCTTCCAATTTTCCTAGGGGTCGTAATGGGGGCTGCTCTCCAGGATTGTTGGAGGAATTTGATGGAGCTGGGGATGGATTGTTAACACTTCCACCACTGACACTACCAGCATCAGATGCACCACTGCTGGTGAGGGAGAGAGGTTTTTGCGTGGCTGGGAGGATTATTCGAGGTAGTTGGTGTTGACATTCGAGTTGCCACTGGAGGAAGAGCTGCTGTTGTTGGAGCATTATTTCGTAGCTTGTCTCGTTGTGGGCAGCTGAGTTTAGGCCGGGCTGAACCGACGGAGGTGAAGTCTTTTGGGCGTTTGGAGGTCCCTGAGAACAAATAGACAGTGTTGATTTAATCCAGTAAAAATTAATAATATTTCTATCAACACCCTATTTCAGAGCCGCTGCTTGTATATTTTCTCTCTTGATTGCTCACTGATTCCACCGAATCCAGTGAACTTGACATGTAAAATGGAAAAAATTACAAATGATTCGGTTTATGAAAGGATAAGTGTACGTATTTGTAATCTAATTTGCAATAGAATCCCTCGATATGCACCTTTCGAATTGAAAGTTATGCAGAATATTCACTTACACTCTCCAGTCGTTAATTGCGGAATTTTCAATTGCCAATTCCATGCTCCCAAGATATTTAAATAACAATCCGTTGGAGACCATTTTTTCTCTACTTTACTACCGAAATGTATCGATTTCCAACTTAAGAAATTACACGTCAATTATTTCATGAAAGATGTTGAAATAAATGAATCGAATTTTTAAGAAAGGAAATAAAATTTTCGTTAACTGCCAAACGAGTGTAATACAGGTCTACGTATATTTGATAGTGAGATGGTAATCTCGATTTCGTTGGCACGCTCAGAGGGTCCTCCAGACTCTCAGCAGCAATTAGCACTCGAATTACTCAGTGCTAACGAGGGGGCCCTGGATACTCTCAGTTGTACGCGAGAAATCGCGAGACTTAATCACTCGATAAAATCTCAGACTACTTGGACCACTCTCCGGTATTCCAAATGAGCCGGTACATATATTCAATTTGAAAATGCCTCCGAAAATTTCATCAGTGAAATTCTCAAGGAGACAGGACCAATTTTCAACTCCTTTCAGATTACTACATCTTCTCGTATTCCTCACGCAATGCGAATCCAAATAGTCATGTTCAATTTTGACAGTTGCCACCACAAAAAAAAAAGAATCTTGTCTTTATTTATTTGTATATTTACTTTTTTAATAAAATTAATCGAATTCGCTTGTTGCTTTATTTGTCATTGAATCTAATTAGTTAGATGTTGATAAAATATTTAATATTAGAAATTTTTGCTATAATTGTTATTTCCTCTTTGCTATTTTAGATTTAACTAGATTAGATATAAATGCATGCGTATTTACGAGAATATCGAAGGTAATTATGGATTTTATTTAAATGGAATTACTATTTTTGAAAATGTGAAAATGTGAAGTGACACAGGAAATTCGATAAATTATTATAAATAACTCATGATCAAATCGGAGGAATCAACAAATTTTAAAGGCATTATGAGGAACTCCTTGAGACCTTTAAGATGAGATTCAATATAAGCTGCTAAATTATATGGAAGGCTACGATAATTAGCAATAAACGTGAATTTTAGAACGTGACATAACGGTGAAAAATGGAAAAAAAAAAATTGGATAACTCGACGAAAACGCAAGATCCAATTGATGCAATTTCAAACAGCGAAAAATGGCCTTCAAGGCCTTCAATGGTACATAAATATTCCGATTCACTTTCTTTATAAATATATAAAAATTGAACTAAATTTTAAATTTATATAAAACCCGAAAATGACAGAATTTAAGTATTTTTAAATACTTTTTTAAATGAGTTTTCCATTCACGTACACAATATTCATTACACAATATATTATCTCAATACGGCAGAAAGAGACAAATTGTGCAAAAAGTAGAAGAAAATGGGAGCGCTACAGATATGAATCATTTGCTCATGGATCTTGTAAAGTTTTAGTAATCGAAAAAGTTTCAAAAAGATAAAAATACCACAGTTCAATGTCCTAGAATATCCGCGACAGATTCAGCGTTTTAATGATCTGTTGGAGTATGAAAATATCGTCGTAATGAATGAGAAGTTGATTGACTAATTGATGACTAAATTTACCTTGTACTCGTGAAATTTGATGGTTCGTGTTTTTGGTTGACTCTTGGTTTTGGATTTTTTTCTATTCTTGTCTTTTCCAGGTGCATCACTCCTTTGGCATGTTGTGGCTATTGGACTGGCTTGTGGACGTGGGGTTATTGCTGCGGGTGGAGCTGGTGGTGATGCTATTGATATATTTGATAGGGGAGAGAGGCTGGATGTCGTCGAGCCAAGTGACATGGGACTAGGCGCTGGTGCCAGGGGTAATAATGTTGCTGTTGGGCCATTTGTTTGACTCGCCTGTTAAATAATAAAATGTATTCAATTTCTCAGAATGTTGCATAATTCCTCAAAGGTTTGAACAGCTTCCAAATTTTAAAATTACTCAAATAGAACATTTCCGTCAAATCCAATAAATACTTGTGGAGTGTTTCAATCTGATCGAGTGGAACTATTTTAGAAAATTATCAAATCACATCTGCATTGGAAGAATGAATTCAGTTAAATTAAAAATATTAAATATTATAATAGTAATTGAAAGAGGTGAAAATAAAAATAATGTTTTTTTTCTGCAATTGATTGCAGCAATGGGCTTGAAGAGTTGGAATTCTTTTCTATTATTGATTTCTATTTCACCTGTGATGTTGGAAGTTGGGTGTGTTGATTGCCAACGACCGAATTACATAATTCTGCAAACGTTTGTATCGTTGGCTCTCCATTGGTCTGTTGAAAGACGGGTGAAGCCGAGGAGACGACAACAGCACCACCAGTTGTTGGAATACTTAGAGAAACCGTGACGATTCCAGCGGATGCTGCTGCAGTCTCCAGAACATCAGTTCGGCCCTCCAGAGGAGGTGAGGGTGCACCTTCAGAGCTCTGGGAGTCGTCCTCGAAGGTGATGTAGTGATCTGGAGGTTGGGGTTTGTTCACCTGACCCTCGCACGTCGGTTTGAAGGGAATGTGACCCTCTGTGATCATGAATTCAATAAATTCGTTAATCTTTGCATGATTCAGCGGAAGAATTGCATCGAACATATTCTGAAGATAATACACTAATTTTCATGTAGGTAAGATGTTCTGCAAAGCCCTGTAGCAATTTAAAGATGAAAATCGATGTTTTGGGCCCAAAACAGATTAAATGTAGTTCGTTTTTATAAAGTATAAAGACTTCTTTCAAAATTGTACTTTAAAGGTTTTTCTCAACTCCTTTTCTATTTTTTAAATGAGAAATGTGAGAAGGTTTCATTTGTGAGACGCTTGAGATATTAGCAAATTTTTACGATAAAATTTAATTGATGTTCAATTAATGAATGATCTAATTAATTGAGTAATCGTTATAATCACCTTTAACCGCCCTTTCAATGGGCTCTTCAGTATGCAAAATATTTTTCTGTATGAGTTCAAGGGGTCCAGGTCGATGACTAAGTTGATCGTTGAGCTGATCAGCAAGTCTTGCCTTCTTCAGCATCCGCTGCCTCTCCGCCAGACTGGGATCTACATGACCCACGTCCTCGAGGATGTGTTGTCTCACAAGTTCATCTCTTCCCGGTCTCTGCTGAATCTTCGCTTTCAACAGATCACCTGTCTTGGCACGTTCCAGCTGTTTGCGTTGCTCATGAAATCCTGGTGGAGTTTTCAAAGCTAAAATATTCCAAATATTGAAAATTAATTAACGAAGGTAATTAATTAAGACTTCCTGGGAAAGAGTAATCGTTCCATTAATAATTCGTAGAACAAGTCTTGATGGATGAGTCGAGGCTGATGATGAAATAAATTCCAACTCCAAGAATTATGTGAATCATGATTAATCCGAAATTTTCCAGAAATATAAAATACAATTATTTTTGCATTTCATTATATATGCGGTGGGTTTATCTGGGACGCGTTAACGTATGTGAAATTATTACTCGAGTCCTCCTAGGAAGCATAAATTCACCGGAGCCTAGAGAATTTTGCACAACAACCGGATGACCTAAATTTTTCGAGACATCATGTGTGGATTATAATCAATGACAAAAACATGGAATATTCGAGATGACGAGTGAAAACTCCATTTACACATGGATTAATTACATCGACTTGTTAATAATAATTGCAGAAAAGGTTTAATTAAAGTAAACAAATTCTCATTATCGAAATGATGACATGATTAGGAACTTATTATTATCCGGGACATTACCCCTTCTTCTTAAAACTAGAAGTTAAATTTTATTGACTGATCTAATAGGTATGTACTTTCATTACTCGCTGATAATGCATAAATGAATATATTGAATGTATTGTTATAGACTTGATTTATTGACTTTTCGCATGCGTCACTAGATGATGATTATAGTGAAAAGAAAAAAGTGGACGTCAATAATTAAACGCTGATAAATTAGAGATGAAACACTTAGTTCTCAAGGTTTCATACATAATTGTTCTAATTCGATTATGATCGTCAGTGGTAAAAAAAGCCCGATAAAAAGACATCCAATTAAACCCCTTTAATTCTCCACTTGAATTTCGTATTCTCGTCACTATTTAATACTGGAATGACCGACTGCACTTAATGACTAAAAGTAAAAAGAAAAATTACTCAATGGCAATTAAGCATTGGGAATAATTTATGAAGTGAACTCGAGTACTCGAAATGGTGAAAAGTAAAATGTAATGTGTGAAAAGCAAATCAAGTGAGGTGATAATTTATCATTGGTTGTGGCGTAATAACATTAAGATAACTAGGAATACGATGAAAAAATAAAATATATACTTACGTGGCATAATGCCTTGGGCAACGAGTTGATTGTACGGTCGCCTGAGCATCAATTTCACCTTCAAAGCTGCAGCAGAAAAATAAACGATCTTATTAATTAAATTGCTCGCATGAAGAAAAAAAAAGAGACAAAACGGGAGTAACAGTGGTGTAATTAATTATTTTTTTTGATAGCGAGGTGAAATTAATCTGGGAGAGCCATGAATTACTGCTCCAGATTTTTGGGTCCACCCCTGCAGTATATTTCATGAAAAGTACTGGTATGTTTATAGTAACTGGTGAAAAGGATAATGATCAAGACACTTTTAAGTTGGAGAGTTTGTTATTTTGCAGTCTCTGCCCCAGGGCAAGTCAAGGAGGTAAATCCACTGGGACGAATGCATCGAGATAAAGGGAGCTCTTAATTTTTCGCACTGTGAAAAGACATCGTCGTTTGTGTTTACTCAAACGAACCGACCAGCAGTTGGTGCGTACACCTCGTTAAGATGGACTTCTTCGATGCCACTTTTGACCCCCGGCATTTTTTACTTTATTTAATTGGTTTGGGGGTATTTTACATTTTTTTATTTATACCATTATGAATAATTTCATCGATTAGAACGATCGATGAGTCATTTAAGGGGCAATTTAACATCTAGGGGAACATTTCGCGAGAAATATGAATCGATTTCGATTAGTCATCGGTATCATTTTTTTTTATGTTGGAAAAATAATAACAGATGCTAAACAGCAATCGGCTATCAAAATTTATAAAGAACTTTTTAACAATAATTATTTAGTGGATGGTACATGTTTATTATTCAATTTTTTATGGAATTTCAATTTCATCCCTGAATTTTCCTTTCGATATTCCACAGCAGGAAAGTAATTAATAATTTATTTTCTTTGTTAATAATTTTTCAAATTATTCGTAGTGGTTTTCTCTTAAAAATCATAATATAATTATTTCTGCTATGAATATTTTTGTTTGTTGTAAAAATTATTATGGCAATGAGAATTATTGTAATACCAATTATCGATCATTGATAATTATCTACGTTTTAATATAGTAAAACTTGAACAAAATTTACTGCTATCCCCGTGGGGATAATGGGTGATTATTATTCTGAAAAGTTTTCAATTGATTTCCGTTATATATGAATTATTATTTTACGAATGAAGAGGAAATAAAAAGAATTAACATACAAAGAGATATAAATAAATGCAGGCAAACAATTGTTGCATACATTCTCGGCGGAAAAAATTGAATAATAATCTGCAATCTGAATTCCAAGCTCCTCTCAGTGCTCCCATGCATTCCACTAAATCTCTCCATTTGCATCATACATAAGTGCATATAAAATTTATCAGCGAATTGTAATGGAAATTTTTATAAGAGCTTTATACAATGAGCGAAAATAATTTTGTTCATGCGGTAAAGATTTTAATTGTTTTTACGACATTCGCGTGTCTCATAACAGTGGAGGGCTTTTTCCCCCTTGAGCTTTGAGTCTCTTAAAAACATCTCTGAATAAATCCCCCCGTGGAATCTTCTCAGTGCACAGTCCATTAAAAGCTTCAGCAGCTTCCGGATGTCTCGGAATTTACGTGCATTTTGTGCAATTTGTTTTTACTTTAATGCCCTTCGAATTATTCTTGAAGTCTTCAGATTTTTCATGTCCACATGAAAAAAAGTATAAAACATATTTACAATTCATGAAGAATATGTAGAATATGGGTCCCTTACAAAACCAACCTTTGATATAATTTAATTAATACAAAAAAGTGTCCTACTATAGTTGAAGATGGAGACCAGCTCATACATGATCTTTTGTGATTCATATCAGCCGCGTCCGCGTCGTGAACCAAGGGTAACGTACCGCGCTGGTATGGTTTCGATTAAATCATTTCCAGTGTTTTGAATTTAACGAAGTTTATCTTATTATAAATTTATAAATTCATACTTCTAGCACCCATCATATGAGATGAGGTGACTTGAAGTATATAAATTCAAAAGGGGACCAGGTCACAATTATAAGTCAGAAAAATTTTGTAGAGGGTGAAATTTTATGGAGTAGTGTGAATAATCAAAATATGCATAAAAAACGTGTTATATATATATACCTTGTATTATTTTTAAATAAATTTTTGGCCGTTTGCGTCTGCGGAAATGATAAGCGAAGGGATAATAAGATATATGATTTTATCAACTACCCATATAATTGTTTCTTCAATTTTTGTATACTTTCAAAAACTTGTAATAATATTAGTTTTTATTGAAAAAATTGTTGTGACGTCGTTAGGATGTAGAATGATAAATAAATTCCTCTAAAATCCGTGGGGTTTCAAAAAGTGTCTGAAATATCGGTATTTTACTACTGAATTTCAGCAAATCATAGAGAACGAATGATAAAAATAATTTCGTGTTTAAATAAATGAGGGATGAATAATTAGTCGATAATATTTTCAAGTACTCACTCTAGTTTTTCGAAAATATCTTGAAAACGCCGAAAGATAGAGATAATTGCATAAATACCTTCTTTATAGCTTTCATCTTTCTCTACAAAAAATGTACCTATAAAAAAAACGCCATCTTCCTTGGATTCCAAGATATTAATTAGAAACGGCTCGACAAAAATGCACTTCTTCCTAGTTAACTTTTTTTCTAGAGAAATAATTATCTGAAAATTTCAACAGAACTCTGTCTTTCTGATAAAAATTTAAACGAATTAATTGGAAATCTTAAATGCAATGTTTTATGCGTCAGCAGTTTGATTTTTATGGATTTTATTTGTACGTTCTTTCTGGCGCACGATTTCTCCATTGAAAAAAGATGTACAAACTCGTTTGGTTATAGACTTAAAAAGAAAATTGAAGAGACACCACATGAGACACATTCACATGCAGAGGACGATGTACCGCGGGGGTGATCCAATAATACAGAGCTTTGAGTATAAATAAAGCAGTGTTGCCCCGGAGGTAGGCACCAACCGTTTCTATTTTTTCCTTCCCATTTCTTCTCTCATTCTCGTGCCTTTTTTCTCCATTTTTAATCTTTTTCTTCTTTTTTTCGTTTCATTTTCTGTCCCCCAACGTTGGACAGCATAATCTGTGTGCACCTAAAATCGACAACTTTTTAAAATAGAAAATATTTCAAGAAATCATTGCCTTCGAATTGGTTTCTACCGAAAATTGATGACTCTGAGCTCGCTCATGAGTTCGTGGTATAAAAATAAATAACGACTTTATGTAAATTGATTGTTCAATATTTGGGATGAGGCGAGGAGTAAAAGTGCGTTAAATACATGGGTTATTTCAATGTATATCCAACTGAGCATATGCCTCTGACCTACAAACAGACTGAATGGCGCTAGATTGTGATTTATTATGGCAGTGAAAAGAGCGAGTGAGGGTCGGACACACGTGAATCTCTGCCAAATGGACGTGTTAATATTTTTCTTTACTCTCTTTTGACAATCAAAACAATTTATTTTAGATTACAATCTGCACTAATAGCAGAAATGGCATTCACCCATTTTTACCAATCTATCACTGAAGTAGTTGGGGACCAATCATTTGTAAATTCGTCAAGATAGTATCTACATAGGGGTCGCCGTCGGCATAGTTAATATAGTGAGGGTTAGGCATTATGAGGACACATAGTACATCTGCATCTAATGTGATAGTTATAGTTATAGTTCCATGGAGAAAGTGAAATAAAAAAATTATGAAAAGAGAAATTTAAGTTTTTAAACGAACGTCAATAGTTATTTTTTATATTTTACAATGCTGGATGTAGTAATATAGTAATTATTTCCATGTCACATGGTATTCCCTTAAAAGGAAATACATAAATAACTTAATTCATAAAAATGTTTTTTTTTAGGATTCACTAAAAATCTTTTGAGTTGTTTGTCGGAGAATTGGCCATAGTAATTGGTACTATTAAAGTCTCTCTTCTCGAATTTCGATGTCATTGATTTATCTTGTTTTGGCCGACTCTCAACGAAGTAGAGCAGTTCTCCGTAAAATAATGAAAGAAAAAAAAATCGCGAATGCGCGGGTGCGTGAACTTGATTTGCACTCTCCCGCGTATTTCTACGATGCGTTAACTGCAAGCCCCGCCCACAATGGCATTTAACCACGCCTTCTAATCGGAGAAGTTTCAACGCGCAGTTGTCGCTGTTATTCCACCTCCTCATTTGCCACCAGATTTTTCAAATAAATCCTCACTGACTAAAAAGCTGCATATTTATCTTTAACTTTCATTGGTAATCCCCTCCTGTTATTTGAGTATTTTTAATCCACAAAAATCTGCGCTCGTCGCATATGAGAACTTGTGGCTAACGAATTTATCCATAACAACAAAACTCTCAACCGCGTGAGTGTGAAAATAAAATAAAATTTTAAACATTGTTTTTTTTTTTTACGGTCAACACTTCGCCGACAATGACACTCATTTTATTTGTAACATAAATAAAGTTGTACATGGTGAAAACGTAATAAAAGTATGGGATCGTGTATATTATGTCGATCGTTTCGAAGCCATTTTTATCCCTCCAGAGGGACCTTTTTTTTTTATAATTTTTACATACGACTGTTCATTCATACGTCTAGAAAATTTGATGACAAACAAACGTGGCCCCAAACAATTATTTTTATTCTGAGGAGGAAAGAGAGGTCTTTGACTCCGGGAATTCTTTTTATGGGATCAGTGCACTCGTCTCAGTTTTAGAATAATTAATTTGGGTAATTAAGTTTATTAAGTGTTATAGGATGGGTTTGAAATATGAGTTTATTCACACTTTGAAACCAGAATTTTTTGTTAAAAATTTATATTTATATTTATATATTCATAAAATTCCATTTTTTCCCACATATTCTTTCTACAAAAGATGTAATACATCAGATGCCCACTGCATAAATACAAGTACATATAACGTACTCTTCCCTTCCTCTTCTCTTTCTGCTTTCCTCTTTTTTCCCTCTATTTTTCAAGACCTCGCCCTCATGTTTCTCCATTTATTTCCTCCTCTTTATATTTCTCTTTGTCATCTGACTACACATGACTTGAGTCATGCAATTGCT